GGCCAACTAATATCAACAATCTCCACCTTTGGCCCAAGGTAGTGCACAGAGCAAAAACACGGAACTGCAGGACTCATCATCGCCAAATTATTACTTGTATGATCACAAAGAAGATACAAGCCAACTGAAAGAGCAATACACAAGTAAACTCAGATCACAAAGATCGGTAAGATCACCAAGCATACCAAGCCCACAAAGGACCGAACTCTATCATACGTCATCCGAGTTCAAAAGGAAAAATCACAAAGCTCACTAACAAGCACAAAGCAAGTTAATAGGGCCACAAAGCAAACACAAAGCAAAGGAGAAAATACTCAGCACAAAGCAAAAGCACAAAGCAGAATTAATAGGCCATAAAGGCAACACACAAAGCAAGAGGGAGAAAAAATACCCAAGCACAAAAGCAAAAAACACAAAGCAGATTAACAGGCCACAAAGGCAACACACAAAGCAAAGGGAGAAAATTACCCAAGCACAAAGCAAAAGCACAAAGCAGATTAATAGCCACAAAGGCAACACACAAAGCATGCCGAGTCCACAAAGGACCGAACTCTACCAAACGGTCATCGAGTTCAAAGAAAAAATAATTCAAATATGCATGCTATCTATCTCATGCATAATCAAGCTCCACCTCATTAGGAATAACCTCATCTTGATTTTCAATAATTATTCATCAGGATGTGATTCAGGTTGATTAATAATAGGCATTTGCTCCACCTTATTTGGAGGCATCATATTCAGAAATAGGAACATGTAAAGGTAAACAAGGAAATTCATTTTCTTAAAAACATCTCTTCTTATCACAGAGTTAACAGAATCAAGCACAGATTCAGCATGCACAAACATAACAAGTTATTTTGTTTTTTCAGCAGAAAACATAACAAGAGACCCTTTAGAATTTTCATAACGCCTTTAACCCCATTTTCCTCCAAACCATCATTTTCTAGAGATGCACAAGAAATCAAGTTATAACATAAATCAGGAAGCATGCCTAACACCTCTCAAAGTAAACACAGAACCAGAAGAAACCTAAGGCATACATCACCAGTCCTAAAACATTGCATTCTTTTCATTTGCCATTGCACAAAGCCATTCTCTATTTCTTGTAGTTTGAAAACATATTTTTAAATGGAGTCATATGAAAAGTACAACCAGAGTCTACCAACCAATCTGATTGACAACAAAGAATCAGATAACACAGAGTTCAAATATGCATAATCACACAGATTAATAAATCATGAAAATTTCACCTATTTCATCCTCATAGACAGCCATATTAGTATGATCATTTGTTGATTTTTTCTAGGTTTTAGGACAATCTCTAATAAAGTGACCGTTTTCATGACAGTTATAACATTTTCTAACTTTAGATCTACCCATTCCATTTTCGAATTGTTTCCTACTTGATTCCCCATTACTAGCATTATTTTGGTTATTAGAACCTATTCTGAGGCCTACCCTCCATGCAAAACTCATCAGAATTTTTATTTTCCCCAGAATGTTTTTAAATCTAATTCCTTACTCTTAAGACCATGTCGACCACAATGTCAAGAGATAACCTATCTCTACCAACTTAAATAGCAGATTTCACATCCTATATGAGTCAGGAATAGCATTAGAAGGGCAATAGGAGTATAGTCGTCTATATGTTTATCACCAGTTAACTTAATATCTGAAATAAGTTTTGTGAAAACATCTAGGTTCTCCTCAATATCCTTAGACATATCCAATCTAAAATTTGAAAAAATTTTCAAGCAAAAACATTTTACTGGGCAAAGAGGTTTCAGTATAGAGTTCTCAGTTATCCCAAAGGGTTTTAGCAGATTCCAAATTCCAACTTTTCTAATCACAGAGTCAGATAAGTTCAAATAAATTGTGAACAAGCTTTTCGTTCATTCAGCTCTTTTTCCTTCAGTGTCAGAAGTTAGGTAAGTCTGACCAACAGCCCTAAAAAGACTTATGTTGAATTAAGATGCATTTTATTTTTTGTTTCCAAATGTTAAAATCAGATTTCCGTTGAAGCGGAGCCATCACATATTGGATCATACTATATTGATTAGCAGCAGACATTTTCACACAGAAAAAACAAACAGCAACTAAACAATGAACAAATCTGATTTCGGTATAATTATCTGGCTCAAAACGTGTGAAGCAACTAGCACGAACAAAATGAGAAGAACGATGAACACAGAGTTCTTGTTTCACTCTCTTTGGTCTTTCACACGAGCACAAACAATAATAGAAACTACTTTCCAAAAAAAAAAAAAATGCAACTATAGCCGGGAAAAAAAATACAGAATTTTTACTGTAAATTTTCAACAAGGTCAGAGCTTAACTGCAGCGGAAAGAAAACACAGGCAAGATATTTTTTTTTTCTTGTCAATTCTCCTGAGCGAAAACAGATTTCGAAGGAAAAAGAAAATGGTAACAGTTGGGTTTTCCGATGATATACCAGAGCGAAACCCTAGGAGAGGGTCTCGACCTTACCCACGCCCACGCGGTGGTCCGGCGGCGGTCCGGCGTCTGTCCGACGGTGTCCAGTGGCGGTCCGGCGGTGGATTGCACAAAGGGATGAGAGCACAAAGCTCACAGGAGCACAAAGCTCACAGGAGGGGGATCGCACAAAGCTCAGTTTCTTCTCTCTTACTTTCTCTCTCAGAGTCTCTCTCAACTCTCTCTTCCTCGCCTCTTCTCTTCAGTCTCACTCTCCTACATAGTCTCTCTCAACTCTATGAGGGAATCGCACAAAAGGGGAAAGGATCACTCAGATCTCTGTCCCTTTTCTCTCTTCTCCCTCAACACTCTCTTTATCATGGGGGTAAACCGACAGGAAGAGATGGGCTAGGGAAGAAAACGAAAGGTAGGAGCCGACCTACAGAGGATGGAGATGGGACTCAAAGCGGCGCAGGACAAAAGATAGGCAAGGGGCGGTCGGTGAAGAAGAGAAGAAAAAACCATCGGGTAGGGAGAACGAATGATGGGTTAGGGTAAGTTTTGTGGGAACTGGGCCTTTTTGGTAATGGGCTATCAACAGGCCTTTGGGCCAACTAATATCAACAATCCTACTAGCAAGCAAGAGAGAGAGAGAGAAAGAGAGAGATTCTTCTTATAAAGAGAGATTGTAACTCCTAAAATTTTCTCATAGTGAATTCTTCTATTCTTGCCCGTGGTTTTTACCCCAAATTCATTTAGGAGGTTTTCCACATGAAAATTTATGTGTTCAATTTTACTATTTCCGCATTACTATTCGTTGCGACCCTACCTTATCAGGCTCCGGATTTGTCCCAACAATAGTGATAAAAACTTAGAGCTTCAGATATTTTGATTTATCTTTCTGAGCTCGCAGCAATTGTATGTTTAATTGTAGCTTAGGGCTTAACTTGTTGCTAGAGGTTCATCGTTGTAACAAATTACATGATGATTGATGATCACATGAACTGAATAACCTGTCAGTCAATGTGGCTCGTCCTGTCTGTAGGTGGCTAATTTACTCTTTGAAAGATGAAGGTGAACTTGATGCATGTGAATCACATCTTTTCAATTTGTTGGAACATGTGTGTGTGTATATATAATTAAATTCTGTTGTAGGTGTTATTTATACGTTGCGATCATATTCTTAGTCCCTTGACTTGATGAGATTAAAGCGGAGACTTGAAGGTCTGGATATTTATGTTAAAGGTTAGGGGAAAAAATTCATGAGTGTTCTCACAATGACTAGAGCAGGAATCTTAAAAGCTGCATTTGAACAACGATTATTGACCAGATCATTATCTTATACTGCATGGACGAATATCAAAAGCATCTGCTCCTTTTAAACCTTTACTTGAAACTGAGTGCAGCAACATATGCTGATATACTGTTCTGAATCTCTCTTCTATAACAGATAGCCATGATATTATATGCAATATTGCAACTAGGGATGCAGAATGGACACGGATATCCGCAGATATATCAGTATTCGTATTGATACAAATATGGATAATAAATATCTATATCTAATAGGATATGACTACTGATATGGATTTATATGTAAAATAGCCCGGTCCATAGCCAAATATCTAATTATATACATATCAATCAGACAGTGTTTTGACCTTCAGATTAATGGATTTGAATTTAGGTTTGATGATCCAAAGTCTAATCTTAGCTTTTCATATATGGCAAATACACTGATGAACTCTCATTTAAGAAATTTATTTAGGGTAAATTCAAAAACTCTCATCAAGTTTGGCCCATTTTGAGATCCCCTAAACTTTATAAATGTCACTTAGCTGCCCTAGCCTTTGTGGCGTGATTGAAGCCACACAGATCCTTTTTGTTAGTACCATTTTTGTAATTTGGGAGTTATGAGTTAGAAAGGGCTCAGAGCAGTTGCTTACCGGGAAAACAGCCTCAACTTCTGTGCGGTTGAAAGTCAAGGAGACAGCATATTCGGAATCAACGGTCCAATATTCTTCTATACTAACAGATATACTTGGCAGGGTGATGGCAGGGTTAACTACAGGAATTGTACCCATCACTTGAGGACAATAGAAACTTAGGAGACAAAATGAAACACATTCCTCGTGCTACAGATGTATGAATTTGTCATATTTTCCCTAATAAATGCCAGTACACACCCTCAACTTTTTTTGTTGCACGTTCTCGTTGGCCAGTTCATTTCCAACAAACTTATGTGTTTGCATAATGCCCCGCATATTTCATATCATTTTTTGAACAGCAGACACCTTGAACTTAAAGGGGCCTGTTAAGAGTATTAAATAATAACCCTCAACCAGCAGCATGACTTTGTAATTTTAGTGCAGTGGAAGGGAGCTGTAGTAAGGACTTAGTTGTTAAATATTATGTACGAACTAATCAGACCTTAGGCATGATAACTAATTGAGGCATGTTTCTTGCTAGTAGTTGAATGGTTGTATACTTTACGACTTTGTTTTTCCATTCTACTGTCATACTTGATTTTAACTTTTCTTAATCTTTGGTTGTGCACTGTTGAGCAGGTCTGGGACAAGTCCAATTAAAGTCAGGAGATCTTAGAAGTTCTCTTTCAAACTTTGAGAAGGTGTTGGAGGTTTACCCTGAAAATTGTGAATGCTTGAAGGTAATTGAGATAGAAGAGACGTTTTATCTTGAAATTTCAATATCTGAATATTCTTTTGATCAAATCTGATTAGTTTGTTGCTCCCTTTAGACTGTTGGACACATTTATATTCAGCTTCATAAGAATGAAAAGGCGTTAGAAATCTTTCGGAGGGCTACTCGAAGTGACCCAAGAGATGCTCAAGTAAGCTATCCTATTTGTTGAAAGAATTTACTTTAAGATCTAGTCTTTAAGTGTTAATCATGAGGGAAAATATCAGTATGTTTAGGTGTGAGCACAAAGGTTCAAGTCCCGCTGTTTGCTAGACCACTATTGGATTCCATTCGGTTCAAAGACAATGCCAATCTGAATTTTCTGCTAGTGTTATCCAGAAACCTTGTTTATAGTGTTGCCTAAATTATGACTTGCATTTAATTGATTTCTGTCTTGGTGGTAAGTATTAAACTCCTACCGTTTTTATCTTTATTATTACCAATTCTTGTTTACCTCTTATCTCTAGATGAAAAAGTAATAAGTGGTTATAATGTCAAATTGAAGAGTACATTTTTAATATCTTCTAAGTTACTTAAGAAAATCCGAATTAGATTTCTGGAAGGAGGGAAGGGTCCACCTCTAATTAAACAAGGTAAAGAAATTAAAGAAATAGAAGGAGATTTAAACATGACACTAGTACAAAACAGGTCAGCCCAAACGGTTGGAACCGTTTGGGAAAACCCCCTCCCAAACGGTTACAACCGTTTGGGCGACGTAAAACACCCGTTTGGACTGAAGCCGTTGGGAACGAGTTGTCCCCAACGGTCGCCCAAACGGTCGCAACCGTTTGGGCAAAATTCCAAACGGCTACAACCGTTTGGGATGTTGCCCAAACGGTTATTGGGCCAAATGTTAGCCCAAACGGTTGTAACCGTTTGGGCTAAAATTTGGCCAAACGGATGTAACCGTTTGGCCAAAAGTTAGCCCAACGGCTGAAACCGTTTGGGCAATTTTTCGCCCAAACGGTTAAAACCGTTTGGGCTATTTATTTTAATAGTTTTAAAATTTCGGCTTCTTTATTTATTTACATGTTTATATACACATCTCACACAAAGTACTAAACATCTCACAATAAAATCAAAATATTCTTATACTTTGCTAAATACCCAATGTTATATATTCATACACAATGTTTACTCAATATACTTAGAGACAAAATATATACATTCAAAAGACTAGTTGCCCATTACAGTAGCTCAGAAAAAAGACTTTAGACTTCACCGGAGCACAACATCACTCCGAACCCATGGAAACCTTAGCAGGCTCACATTTATTCCTTATAGCATTATTATTAAAACCCACAGAATTTCACTCTGATCAACCCGCAGGAGCATGGATAGTTCTCAGCTATGAAGCACGGACACGCATAACATGAAGCCGTGTCGTGTCGTGTCCGTGTCGGACACACGTGTCGAACACACGTATCCTATGTATTTTTTAGGATTTGCCTCGTGTCAGCGTGTCTGATGGCCGTGTCAGATCCGTGTCCGTGCTACATAGGTTCTCAGATCCCTCTGCAGTACGCCAAGATATTCCAGTAGTTCATCGACGATTTGAGCCACAACCTTTACTGGATTATACTTCGGAATAAACCTCGCAGAATCACAGAACATACCAATCACAATGAGCAGCGCTTGGGCTCTTTTCGTGACGTCAGTTGTTGAGTTTCCAAGCCATTGTGCTGCGTTCATGAGATTCTGTCGCCCAAGAGTGACTTCAGTGAGACCTCCTGCTGGATCGAAGCCAGCTGCGCGTAACAGGGCAGTGTAGTTATGCCTGTAACCAAGAAGTGTTTTGAGTCTTTATCGATCAGGCGCTTATCTCCGAACTCGAACCATTTACCATCGTTGTTCACGCAAAAGCCCTGCAAGTAGAGCTAGTTGCATCGAATCCTCAGCCTGACCCTACTCTTCCCATCATTGAAAACCAGTACAATGTCGTACCAAGTGAGCTTCTTCACCCAATCAGGATCGTTTTCGTTGAGCACCAAGTGAGCTTCTTTCACTAGTACAAAAATTGGAAGTTGACATTTTTCCTTGAAATGAAAGCTACCATACACACGATAACGTGAAACAGTGCCAAGCAAATCAGCCAGGGTTCCTATGAATATGAAATAACGAAAAGATTTAACATTGACATTGTTGCAAGACAAACCTGAATAAAAGACCAAATACATAACAGGGTAAACATGGAGATTCAGATCCTACATCAACTGTCAAGAAATTACCCCAATACTAAATTTACAGCACAGAGAAAACATTTCATGGTATAAAATGCATATGATAAGTGGGACAACTTTCTTATGTAAGAAGAACTGTCATCGGATAGCAGCCAAACTTTTGCATATGATTTAATGATTTAATATCATGGGTACCTCTAGTAAAAATTGGTAGTCGCTGCTACATTCATGACAATATCGATTTTGTTCCATAAAAGTTTCTCTAAGATCGGTGTCACTTATACCTAAGTTCTCAATAGTTATGTCTCCTGCAATAGGAGATACTTTCTCAGTGATAAAGGAATTGAACTCCTCTCTGTGCTTTTCTCTTAGAACACCGAACAATTGCTTTGATATCACCTGAAAATTTGCCAAATTTTGCTTGTCATATATCAGATATACCAAACTTATGGAACTAATAATTTATCATACTTGCAATTTGTTAGTTTTCTATAACTTTTTGTTACCATTTGACATTTGAGAACAGAAATGTGAGCAAAGATAAGCACTGAAAACATTGACAAGGTATATACAGAAATTCTAAGAAGGCAGTTACAGTGTATTAACCTAAAATAGAAACCAATAATCATGCTAACTTTCCTCCCTAAATAGAATCATCTATTACCTCTATTATCAATGTAATTAGTATATTTCAGATAATTTTAAAAGCTAAATCAGTCAAAAGACTCAAAATTGATAATAGTCTCACACTTTATTTATTTCTTTAACTAAAACTGGTCAGCTTTATTTTGTAGTATATTTCAGATAATGATTAACTTTAGAACAAGACACTGAAATAAACAAGAAACAACGTCATAGCACAAAACTGAAGAGATTTCTAAAACTAAATTATTACCTCAAGTACTTGTTTGCCTCTGAAACTTAATTGTCCATCATGTATTTCATGCTTAAGGAGATTTTCAAGATCAATATAACTCTCCCAAGCTTTTAAAGACCCTGTAATAGCAAAGGAAAAATACCAATAAGGCAAATCATTTCCTATGCAAGCTAATAACAGCATCTGAATGAACTAACATTTAATACTATCAACTCACCATCAGGTTTTGAAGATATCATCTCTGAACTAGAAAATCCAATGATGTCTGCAACACTAACTCTACCCTGAAACATGAACAAAACTTATCAAACTGAACTAGAAAATCCAATGATGTCTGCAACACTAACTCTACCCTGAAACATGAACAAAACTTATCAAATATCTAAATCTAAAATTTAATATGTTTCTTCTTCAAATCCGCCAAAGCATCCTCCAGCATCCTCTGATAATTTGTATACCCACAAACCACAGAATATCCTCTCGGGCCCATCCCATGTTCTTCTGAAGCCTACAATTAATCAAACCCAAATTGTGAGCTTAAAGTCTAATCAACCCCTAAATTTCACCCTACGTTTCTAAGAAGTCTAATCGCGGAGGAGGCGGTGGAGGAGGAGGCGGAGGAGCGATAGCCCCGACGAAGACCAGCAGCAGGAGGAGGTATGTTGGCGAAGACCAGCAGAACGAGCAAGACGAGGATGTGATGCAATCGATGGAGGCGGAGGAGGAGGTGGAGGAGTGCGCGAGAGCGCCGACGAAGATGAGGGAGGCGGAGGGGGTACGATGGCCCGCGGCGAAGATGAGGGAACCCCGACGAAGATGAGGCGGGGGAGCGAGAGTCCTAGAGGATGAGGAGGTGCCTTGGCCGGCGGCCGCGGTCGGAGTTTGACGGGGTCAGATGAGGGATTTTCGACGCGGTTGGACGAGGGGGTTAGGGATTTGAGAGGGTGCGGTCTTGAAATATTTGGGGATGAATTTTTCGCGCTGGGATGAAATTTTTGGGGGGAAGGAAGAAAAAAGACTTTTAATTTTTTTAAAAGAACTTAACAAAACTTCCAAACGGGTTTAACCGTTTGGGCTAATGTATCCCAAACGGTTATAACCGTTTGGTTCAACTGTTTGGGATTTTTTAACAGTCCAAACGGTTTTAACCGTTTGAGTTTATTATCCCAAACGGTTAGAACCGTTTGGGATTTTTTGACTTTCCCAAACGATTGCAATAACCGTTTGGGCAGTGCTGTTTTCTACTAGTGTGAATTAGGCATAGTAGTAGTAATTAAATGCAATCAATCCATCTCAGAGTCCGTTGAAAGTCCAGGGTCACAAAACAGTTATTGAAGTTCACCTCACTAGAAAACAAGCTTGGACTAGTTTTTATTTAGCTGAAGGATTTCCCTGGAAAACACAGTCCAAAGGGCCCCTAAAATTTACCCCTTTTTTCTAAGAATCCCTTAAGTATTTCTCTCTCTTCAGAGAAGCCCCTAAGTATTGATCTGTCTGCTAAGAAGCCCTTAAGTATCTTTTTTTTAATAACAATGAAACTCTGAAGTTTTATTCCTCTCTCCCAAAAAGACCCCAAGTTTCTTGTTACCTTAGGGATTTCATTGTTAAAAAAAGAAAGAGGGGGGCTTCTAACAAAAGAGGGGTAAAACTTAGGGACTTAGTTGTCAAAAAAAGAATGGCTTCTTAGAAGAGAGGGGTAAAACTTAGGGACTTTTTTGTTAAAAATAGAAAGTTGATAGCTTATTAGAGAAGAGGGGTAAAACTTATGGGCTTCTTAGACTATGTTCTCGTTTCTCCTGTGTTGATGTTAGTTATCTAAGAGGGGGTTTGCGTGTGGATTATTAAGGGTGTTAGGGTCATCAATCTTCTTTAGCTAGCTAGTTCTTGAGCCGCTATCCTGCACATGAAGAACACGTAAGAGGTTGGAGTTGGGATCTCCGGTGGTTCCTACGATAGTCAAGTCAGTTCAGAGCTTGAGTGGGGAAGGAGATAAGTATTTAAGAGTTTTCTAGCCAGAAAATGCTTACCCTAAGCAACAAAAAACACCTTCCTTTTATAGTAGATTCAAAAGGGTAGATGGGTAATTTTCACAGAGCCCACATAGGCGGCTCAGTCAACATCCGCTTCATAGGTGTTGGCCGCAGAGAGGGGTGAGTCACCTCATCATTTAATGTGAGGGTGACGAAATGTGCATAATGCTAAAGAGGTTCAATAAGTCATAAAGACTTTTAGGTTTGGAGAAATAATGACTCTGATCGTGCATTTAATGCAATGGTAATTGACTGTCGGCTGGGACCCGAGGATACACCGTCTTCCAACTCGTCTCACTAAAGATCGATAAGTACTATCTTTTTAGTCGGTCTCGAAGGTTGTTGACCTCCAAGGGTCGAGTGCCGAAGGGGAGTGGAGTCGACTTGGATGAGAGGCTGAGTGAGGACGCCTCTCTCCCCGATATCTACGAGTGGGTCGACAAGTACCGCTTTTTTAGTTGGCCTCGAAGGTTGTCGACTCGCAAGGGTCGAGTGCTGAAGCTGATTGAGTCGTCCTTCTCCGAATATGGATAATTAGGCATTAAGGTGGGACACGTGTCGGCTTCTCATTAGGGATTAGCACTTAGTCATTTGTTGATATAACACTAGCCCCTTTCACTCAAACTAGGGAAATTTGAACAGTCGATGATTAGAATATTCGAGGTGCATTTATGAGGAAAGCAAGGGGCAACTGTTAATGTGATGCGCTAACGTTACTAGAGATGGTGCACTCGCGTCGCCTCGTTTTCAAAGAGTAGATGGTATGTCAATCGAAGGGCAGCACTTCAGTTCTTAAGCAGTCTATTTGACTTTCGAGGTTGATCTCAACCGTCCGTTTATAATCGAGTCGGATCTCTGATAGCTTCTTTTGCTCCTACCGTTGGCTGTAACGAGATGAGAATTAACCTCCTAAGGATGTTTCGTTCGAACCTCTATATATAAGTTTTGGAGGAGAGGCTTCATTTAAACTCTCTAAACTCTAAAATTTGAACCCTAGATTTCTTCAAGTGATTTCCGGTTAACTTCTGACGATCTCTGATAGCTTCTTTTGCTCCTACCGTTGGCTGTAACGAGATGAGAATTAACCTCCTAAGGATGTTTCGTTCGAAGCTCTATGCAATGGAGCTCGAGGTCTTCTCAATGAGAATGCAGTTGAGTTCGGCCGCCTTCAAGATCCGATTGACATAGTGTACCGGCCTCTGTGCATTGTCTTCCCCTTAGATCAGAACAGAGCTAATGACTTCTTAGGAGATGGCCAAGTAGATATATAAGGTCTCTCTCATTCTCTTGGTCGACTCAACAGTGACTTGGTGCTCAAATATCTTTTGAGGTTATTGAAGGCCTCACTGCACTCAGTCATCCATCTCATACATTCCTTTAGCTCCTTGCTTCCTCTCAACGTTTTAAAGAATGGGAGGCTTCTCTCAGCAAGTTTTGAAAGAAAGTGACCTAACGCTGCTATCTTTCCATTTAGTTTCTGGACGTTCTTCAGCGTGCAGGGTTCAACGTGCAGGGTTCATGAATTGTTTGATCGCACAAGTCTTACTAGGATGAGGCTTATAAATCCTCCACCTTTAGTTTCTCAAATTCCTGCATCTTCTCCTGTCTTCTTCTCATCCCTCTACCTCTAAGACTCGTTCTCGTCCTCCTCGTGCTTCTAGTTCTAATCCTTCTAGCATCCCTTCCACTTTAAACTATTTGGTTGATAGGATTGAGAGCATTAAAAATAGACAGGATGAGATGATGAATAAACAAGAAGAAATGACGAGGGTTTAACAACAGTTGATGAACATGTTCATGAACCAATATCTAGAGTAGATGCCTCCATCTTAAATCCCTAAATTGTTTGAAGACGGTCTTTTCGATAATTGTGACTTTTGTATTTGATTTCAGACTATGTATTTACTCTTATTTATGCTTGGTTTAAAACTGTGTATTAACTTTTGTTTATGAACTATGTCTTTTGTATTTGGAGTTTGCATGTATTAAGACGTCTTTTATGATGATATATATATGTGTTCTTTTGTCACTTTGAGTGTGAGTTGTCATAATTTTTTTTTGTTTCTCATATTTGTATCTTATAGTGTTCTATCTCTTTTTGTGGATGTGAAAGGGGAAGAACTATGTGATATGTGTGAATTGTGATATATATGTGTTTGCCTTAGTATGTTTGCTCACATATTGTGATTAGTATGGTCATTGCCTTAATATTTCATTTGATATATGATTTGTGGCTTTTTAATAGGGGAGCTTTTTCCTATCTGTTTGTACTCACCATGCTTATATGTAGAGGGAGCTTTTACTTTTTTTCTTATCTTTGTCCACATTTTGATGTTGTTAAAGAGGGAGAAACAAGTGTATTATGAGTATCTCGTTTTTTTACTTACTATTGGTATCATGCAAAAGGATTATAAATTGATATTCATTTGGTATCATGCATGTTTTTCTATCCTCATTATGTAAATTGTTTGTCATCATCAAAATGGGGAGATTCTTAAGTCTCATGTTTATGAGCCTATTGTTTAATCTGATTTTGATGATTAACAAATAATTTCTAACACCGTCTTCTAGTATTTGTGTTTACTAGTTAGGTATTCTAGACAAGCATCTTGTTGGAGGTTGGATGGACTTCAGCGTTAACGATGATATTCATGGAGGTTGGAGGAAATCGGAATGAAGCGCGATGTCATTCAAGTCAAAGACACTATCGTTTCATTCCCGCTACCAAGATCGAACTTCATGAAGATTCTTAGCTTGGGTATAGGAGTTTAGTTTTGTACTTTATGTGTTTATACTTAAAGCTCAAACCATACACGTACACTTTATTTCGGTTTATCGTATTATATATCTATTTGGGAATATATCGTGTTTTTGGATTATTGACTTAATAATATTGTTTTACATCTTTTTTAAAGTCTATTAATCCATTTAAAAGTATCTCAAAACTTGTTTGAAATAGTTTAATCAAAATCAAGTGTTCAACAAATTCGTATTTTTGATCGTTTTGCAAAATAATGAGTTTTCACAAATAGAAAATGCTATTTTAGAAATTCCTTTTCTAACATATTCATTTTCATATGTATAAACGTTTTCCTAAGTTTTACTATTTTTGGAATTGTTTTGCTATTTTAAATCGAATTTAGAAAATCAAATTCTCAGCAAAATTCAAGTATCTGCTGTATTAGTTTTTCAGTCGACCGAATGCTTGGATCGGTCGACTGAACAGTCTTTTCAGTCGACCGATGAAACTTTTTAGTCAACTTGCCAGAAGTAGTTTTTACAGCATTAGTTTTGTCAGTTGAGCAGTCGACCGACCAATAGAGTCAGTCGATCGAACAATATCTTCAGTCGACCGATACATTGACCAGTCGACTAAAACATGTTTCCGTGCTTGTAAGAGGTAGTTGATCAGTCGACCAAAAAAATCAACCAGTCGATTGATCTGCTCTTTTTCTGGTAACGGCTAGTTTTTGGCTGATTTGTTTTGTTTTGTTTTGGTTGAGAGACTATAAATAACCCTCAAGACTTATTTGTGAAAGGACTATGGAAATTATAACAAAGTTTTTGCCAGTTTGTTTCAAGAGTTTTGAGAAAGTTTAAATATGTTTGTTTATGTGAAAAAAGTTTCATAAAGAGAAAGATTTTAATTTCGTATTTGAGGCGTTCATCCTCAATTCTCTTAACTCTCTTTATTTTGGAGAAGTTTTCTAAACTCTTCCTCTAGCTAACTAATATTTTGATTCTCATATATTTATGCTAGATTGATTTGAGTTTGATTTTGTTTTACTCATTGATTATACACACACCCACTTGAGTTTTAGTATTCCACATCTAGTATAATTGCGTGGTGAGAGTAATTCGTTGAGAGAGCTTTATATTTCGTTCTCACTTGTTTAGAGAACAAAACTCTTATCCGTACTTATTGTTAAACACGTTGTAATACACAAGAACACTTAGAGGAGTAGTTGGGAGAGACCGAGGTTAATTTCAAGAGGAGTGGGTTGGTTATAAAGTCTAAGGAGAGGTTGTAAATCCAAACACTTGAGGAAGTCAACACGGGTAGTCCAACACTTAGAGGAGTGTGGCTTGAGTGATTGACATCGTGTGCGTTGTAAAAGTTATCGGTGATCTTTGAAAATCATTTGTATAGATTTTGAGATATAGTGGCGATCTTCTTGAGGTGAGGAACGGAGACGTAGGTCGAAGGTTGACCGAACTCCGTGATCATATCTTGTGTTTACAATTATTTTTAGCACATTATTATTCTTTATATTTTGTGCTTGTGTTTATATTGTCTATTTTCTCATGCTTATCCTTACATATCTCAGTGTATATCATATTGTTAGGATATTGTTTTATAAGTTTTAATTTTGCATCGAAATCGGATTAAATTAACAATTACCCTATTCATTCACCCCTCCCCCTAAACCACTCTAGGGTACTTTCATACATGTGGATTATTAAGGGTGCTAGGGTCATCAATCTTTCTTTAGACAGCTGATTCTTGAGCCGAGAGTCCTATCTTGCACATGAAAAACACGTAAGAGGTCTGAGTTAGTATCTTCGGAGGTTTCTCCAACGGTGAAGTCAGTTCAGAGCTTGAGTGGGGAAGAAGGAGATAAGTGTTCAAGAGTTTTCTAGCCAGAAAATGTTTACCCTAATCAGCAGACATCACCTTCCTTTCATAACAGATGTAAAGGTGTAGATGGGTAATTTTAGTCAAGTCCACGCAGACGGCTCCGTCGGCATTTGCTTTACAAGTGCTGGCCGCAAAGGGGGATGAGTCATCCTGTCATTTAATGTGAGGGTGACGAAATGTGCATGCTGCTGACGAGGTCCGATTAGTTATAAAGACTTTCGGGGCTAGAGAAATGCTGACTCTGATCGTGCATTTAATGTGATGACAATCGACCGTCGGTGGGGGCCCGAGGATATACTGCCTTCCGGCTCGTCTCACTGGAGGTCGACAAGTACTGTCTTTTTAGTCGGCCTCGAAGATTGTCAAGTTGCAAGGGCCAAGTGCTAAAGGGGAGTGGGATCGGCTTGAATGAGAGGCCGATTGAGGACGCCTCTCTTCCTGATCTCTGCGAGTGGGTTGATAAGTACCGCCTTTTTAGTCGGCTTTGAAGATTGTCGACCCGCTAGGGTCGAGTGCTGAAGCCGTTCAAGTCATCCTTCTCCTAATATGGATAATTAGGCATTAAGGTGGGACATGTGTCGGCTTCTCATTAGGGATTAACACTTAGTCATATGTTGATATAACACCCTGCGTGCTCAAATCATCATTAACATCACTGCTCAAGAAAGCTCTGGAATTTTGTTGCTAATAAAGTATCTTGAGATCTGGTCTTTCCAGATTTTTGGTTGATGACTTTTTGACATATAACGCGGTAGCACATTCTGGATATAGTAGTATGGTAACATTTGCTTTATAATTGCAGTGATCTGTTTTCTTCTTTGTTTGAACCTGGTGATTAGAATATAGAAACAGACATTGAAACGGTCATAAAGATATAGTTTAAATCTAGCAGTAGTTATTACTTCTAAATTCATTTTATAGTAATTGTATTTTCTTTATCAGATACCTATGAAGCTTCTTCAAGTTTTTGTGACATACTGCGCAAGAGTTAAATCATATAATAACCTTAGTATATTTGTGCTTCTTTGTTGACTGTTTTCTCTACTTTGTTATCTGAGAGCTTTCTTCCCAAGCTTCTGTACGAAATATAGACCACTCTTTTCGCCTAAGCTTTACTTTACACTGTGGACTGTTATGAGATTTTATCAAACTGGATCCTCTTCAACAATAATGTACTACTCACTATTATGATCTCTTGAATATTTGAGAAATACCCCATTTTTTAATGAGATTTTGGTGCAGGCATTTATTGAGCTGGGGGAATTGTTGATATCATCTGATCCTCAAGCTGCTTTAGATGCATACAGAAGTGTATGACTTTTCCCCCCTTTCTAATGTCATACTTAATATTCTGGAATAATTCACTTTTGCATTTGGTTTGAATCTAGCAACTAATATATAGCTGTTTCCATGCTGGAATTTTGTGTTGAATTGCTTTCCCCTACAAAAGCTTACGATTGTGCTCTAATTATTGGTCTCACTTTTAATCAGTTTTATTTTTATTTTATTTTACTTTTGCATCCTCACAGTTTAGCGTCCCCTTTCCTCTTAGAAACTGGAACGCAGGTACTATAGTGAAGCGTGAAGTTTTGAGGATTAAAGTTATGTTTACAGAATTGTGCGGACTGGTGATTCTGTCACGTCCCACGCTCACAAGCCAAATGATGCAGTATAAGCCTTGGGACCCACTAAGTGCAAAACATTATTTGGCTTGTTCCACTACCAAAAATTGCTAGCAATTGGTGTAGCTTGAATCTAAGAGTTCACATTTAAAACACTTTGCCTCTATCATTACCCGATGCGGAACTATTATTGGGTGTATTACAATCACCCCCACCTTAATTACGTGACGTTCTCATCGCGGCATGACAACGGCCATTCCGGTATCACCGCTAGGTGATGTGGATTTTAGAGGTGGCTCTCACTGGTTCTAGGGGTGGCTCATGCCGAGCTCACACAATGTAGCACTTAATCCCGCATAGTACTTAGCTCACCATTGTTGGCTAGCTAACTGTTCTAATACCATTTTGTCATGCGCCGGGCCGTCCATGAGCCTATTGGCGCAATATGAGCCCTAAGACTGACTGAGCGCAACACATTGTTTGGCTGGGTCCACTGCCAAAAATTGCTAGCAATTGTTGCAACTTGAATCTAAGAGCTCACATTTAAACCACTCAATGCCTCTATAATTACTCGATGTGAGAGTACCACTAGGGGTATTACAGAGTCATTGTTGAGTTTAAATAGAGAATGAGATAGCTTGAAAGTTGAGAGACTTATCTATCATGATTTGATTATAGATTATCTATTGTGTGGAATCCAGAACAGGTTTTGAAGTAAACAACTTGAGCCCCACCCAAATAATGTAACTGACACCAAAGGTAGCGATGAGATATTGCATCTGTCATTTTGGCTCTCAGTGGATGAATCTCCATGTTGTTTTTTCACGTTTGCCTAATAAATTTATAGAAATGTTCTTAGATCAAAAAACCTTTCTACCTTTGGACAGAGAAAGTTTCTGTATGATCACTTGAGTGAGGAACATAGATGAATTTGGTGAGACTATTTGTCAGTAAATAATGGATCCTTTTTGCCGCCTCATCCACTTAGAAACCACTATGATGAAAAAAATATTAAAAGAATGAAAATTTGCTTCTCATATATTTTTCTAGAATACTGAAGCTCTAAGAATCAGTGTAAGTTGGATGAGACGGTGGAATGGGTCCATGACGGGAAAGAAGAAACAAAAAGGGAAAAAAGAAATTAGGATTTTGATTGTAGGAATTACTTCTTCAGTGTCACACCATACATCTCAATTGCAATTTGGACTCATGCGTTTTAAAATGAAAGTCAACCAATGTCACTTTAATCCTCCAGGATGGAGTTCTTGTGAAACCATTTTCTTAGCCTTTTGATTTATCTATCATAATTTCTGCTGTGCTCTTCATCCCTTCATTCTATAACAGGCTCTTAGTCTCTCCAAGAAGGACGACAAAGGAGTACCAACAGAAATACTTAACAATATGGGAGTTCTCTACTTTGAGACGGGTGAATTTGAGGTTCGTAAAATATTATATTTTTTCTACAATGGTTGATTTCAATTATAGTTCAGGCATTTTGCTTGATTCCTTGAGTTCTGTTGTATTTAAACTTTTTCAGCCTCTCAAATTTCTTTCTTTGCTTTCTTTCAGATGGCGGCACAAACATTCAAGGAGGCTTTGGGGGATGGGATCTGGGTTTCTTTCTTGAATGGTAGTGTAGATTGCAGTACTTTCTCCATGCAGTACAGAGATCTGAGTCCATTCCATCAACTCAAAGAAGATGGTGCATCTTTGAATCTGCCTTGGGATAAAGTTACTATACTATTCAACTATTCTACATTGCTTGAAAAGTTGCATGATACTGAGAAAGCAAGCATCCTTTATCAGTTTTTATTATTCAAGGTCCTCCCTCCCTCCCAACTTCTCTGTATATGTGTGCGTGCATGTGTGCTGTCTGTAACTTTTTCTTTAACTTGATAATTGAACACTAGAGTGTGGCAGAATATCTTGTGCTTAGCAGGAAATCAGGATCTTGGCATCTGGTTGCAATTGATGTTTCCAGTTTATTGTTGTATGATTTTTTTTTAATGTATCCCATCAATGTATTTTATGCTTTTCTTCAGTATCCAAACTATATTGATGCTTATTTGCGTCTTGCTGCAATAGCTAAATCAAGAAACAACATCCCATTAAGCATCGCCTTGGTATGTGTTGAATTGTTTATTTTTGGAGGACATTACTAGTTTTGTTGTTGACGCCATGGAACTGATGCTTCTCTTGATTCAGATAGGGGATGCTCTTAGGATCGATGACAAGTGCCATGATGCTCTCTGCATGCTTGGCAGCCTGGAACTAAAGAATGATGACTGGCTTAGGGCAAAAGATACTTTTCGTGCTGCCAGAGAGGCAACTCACGAGAAAGATTCTTATTCCACTCTTTTCCTGGTGTGTCTTTCAGTGTCTGAATTTACACATTTTTGTTAATGACTTTGAGCTACTTTATCTGTTGATTTATGAATAAATAGATTATAGCGTTGGAGATAATTTCGACTCCTTCACCTGTGATGCTCCTTCATGCATTGCCTCAACTGTGTGCCAAATTTCCTTCGCTGTGCTACAAGCCGAAACACTATTAAATTCATTTTTATCCAAAGCACGATATAAGGCATTCATAGCTCTAGCATTCAAAGCACACAATTTCTTACATGTACACATTATCTTTTTCTTTTTCTTTTGCATTTATCATCCTAGATGGCATCTGCTCTATACGGAGGTCACTTGTCTACACAGTTCTGATGCTATTGTTTTGAGCTTGGCAGGGTAATTGGAACTACTTTGCAGCAACTCCTTGTGAGAAGAGGTTTGCAAATTTTGAAGCAATGCATCTGGAAAAGGCAAAGGATCTCTATACCAAAGTATATTTCCACCTTATGTTTCTTCATCTCCAAATTTTTAAAATATTTAATTCCTTGCATTCTTGAACTTGCCTTGTTATGCATTGAACCCCAGTGACCTTTCCTTAGATTCTTTAACAAATAACTGCCCTTTTCAGCTCAGTTCAGTTCTACATAACTGGTAACATATATATTTTTCTTGAGTTTGAAGTTTATCCTTTGCATGTTACTGAAATGCTGTAGAGAGAATGCAGGTTACATCTAGATGAGTCATCAATAAACATTTCCCCTGGTAAGATAAGGTTTTCTTTGCACTGTGGCAGCCTCTTACTGTGGATTCCTGTGTGCTCTAAAGTCTGGCTTGGGGCAGGACAGATTTCCCCTATTACATTGTTACATGGACACAGATATAAATAAGGATAAAGATGCGACACATGCACACTTATGGATCAAAATATTGAAAATTTGTCACCTGCATTTGTGTGTTTTTTTATCTTTTTTTTTGCATCCTTTAAACCGTGTTTTAATCATAATTTGTTATTGACATGATCTGTAGGTATTGAAGCTGCATCCTGGAAACCTATATGCTGCCAATGGTACTGGAGCTATCTTGGCTGAAAAAGGTCACCTTAATGTTTCAAAGGATATATTTTCGGAGGTTAGTTTTGGTTATGCATCAGCTCTTTTCTTTAGTCAAAAATTTCATTAGTTCTTTTACATTACTTATTTTTATAATTTAGGTGCAAGAAGCTGCATCAGGGAGCATTTTTGTTCAGATGCCAGATGTGTGGGTAAATTTGGGCCATGTTTATTTTGCTCAAGCACATTTCGTCTTAGCTGTGAAAATGGTAATTATAAAAACCCTGGAATTCTTTTGTTAGAAGCATTAAGTGTGACAATTTGCTCTTTTGCAGTACCAAAATTGCTTGCGGAAGTTCTACTACAACACAGACACGGAGATCCTTCTATATTTTGCCTTCACTCATTATTGGGCTGAACAGTGGAAAGAATGTAAAAGAACTTTGCAAAGAGCTATTCATTTGGCGCCCTCAGATTATACGCTTCGGTTTGATTTGGGGGTTGCCTTGCAGAAATTTTCTGCATCTACACTACAAAAGAAGAAGAGAACTGCGGATGAGGTTATATGCTTCTATTCTTTAAACATCAATTTCATTATCATACACTTCATAGTTTCATCAGATGGTTAAACATTACTATTTTCCCTGAAAAATGAAATTACACCTAAATCAAATTACCCAGATTGGCATTCCACGCTATATTCAGAGGGCCTTTACTCAACAGGAGATTTTCTGAGATCTTACTACTTTGTGTTGTAGTATACTCATTGTTCAGATGATTAAAAAAATCCTCAGTTGCCCTGTAATCTGTGGTTCTGTGATAGGATTCTTGCAAGTGTAAGCATGTGTGTCATTATGTTTTAGCTTCAGGTGCCTTCTACTCTGTAACTGTGATAGGATTCCAGAAGAGTGAATTTTTGTGCACTTGCGGAATTTGGATGCTCAGATTTACTTTTTATTTGCTATTTTTGGTAGCATTTGTTTTCTTATAATTTGTTTATTTGCTGGTGATGCTTTTGCATGCTTCTGCAGCGGTTTTTATATGCATTTTCTTTTTTGCTTCTGAAAAACAGGCAAAATGATGGTAGTTATGCTATTTTCTTCTTTACTCCTTGTGCTTATTCTTTCTATTTTAATGGCAGGTGTGGACAACCGTCACAGAATTGAAACATGCAATTCGTGTATTTAGCCAGTTGTATGCAGCGTCGAGCTACCACATTCATGGGTTTGACGAGAGGAAGATAAAGATCCATGTAGATTATTGCAAACATCTTCTTGATGCTGCGAAGGTTCATTTAGAGGCAGCTGAGTGTGAAGAGCAGCAAAAGCGTCAGAGATTAGAGGTTGCTCGTCAGCTTAAATTGGCTGAGGAGGCTCAACGCAAGGCTGAAGAACAAAAAAAAATTCAGGCAAGACATTAAATTACTCATACTTAGGCCTTTATATAAGTCATAATTTCTTACTAGTAATAAGTTAACATGTATGCCAATATTTCTAGCATGTATGCCAATGTACCACTTCGAATGGCTATATCGTCCCCTGATTTATTTATTTATTATTACTATTTTATTTTATTTTTGTGTCAATACAGGCAGAAAGGAAAAATCGAAAAGAAGAGCTAGAGCAATTTATGCAACAAGATGAACATCTTAAACGTATTCAGGTTTCATTTTATCTACTAATCTGACTTTCTTCTCTTAGAAAAAATGCAGTCAGATTTTTATGGCTCTATATATGCTGAAAATCTAGCATGATTTACTCATCAAGTAAATCTTGAAATGGTGTAATGTTCTGTCTATTCCTTTGTTTCTTTTTTTTCTTTCTTTTTTTTTTGTATTACATTCATGCAAAAAAATATAGAATTGATAGTTCTTAAACTTTATTTTTTTGATAGGAGTCCTTACTTTTCATTAAAGCCTAAAAAATGCAATATCTCTAGAGATCATATCCATCCTGTTGATGTAGAGGCTACTGCAGGCAGGCTTGATGAATGCATGCATTGTCATTACGGCATTTTGAGATGGATCTGAATCTTAAGGAAGTTTATTGAGCAGTTTTTGTTGCGCGCAGCGGAAATTTCGGCAGCACTTCGGCAGCACAACAAGAGAGTCAGATCGCAATAAGAATTCCCGTCTCACCAAGGAGACAAGAATCTGAAGCGGATATCTCAACCAAGTGAGATATCGGCTCTTCCTCTCATCAGTTCTAGGACTGACCTGTCGAGGGATCCTAAAAGCTATTACAAATCACACAAAAGCAGTACAATCAATTTTTACGTGGTTCGGCAAATTGCCTACGTCCACGGGGCAAGGAGGGGGGAGATCTACTAATAGAGGGAGAGAATACAACTAGGGTTTACAATCACTCACAATCTAAACCCTCAAACAAACTCTCAAATCCCTCACAATAAACTCTCTCAAAATAGCAAAACAAAAGCGGCACAGGAAATCCTCATGCACCAAATAACTCCCTGCACTGCTCCTCTGTCGGCTTTTTCTTGTTTGCACGAAGCCGCCAAAGACACCAAGCCGAAAACTCCTTTCACGCCCTCCTGCTCTTGCACACTCGAAAACCTAATAAACAATTCCTATATATAGGCGTGATTTGCGTTTCGTGGGCCGGCTTCAGAAACGAATCCACGCACGGAACTCATTTACGTGGTAGACCCCACATCACGTGCGTGTTCACAATTCTCCACCTCGGTGAAGTTTTCCCAAAACTGAGCCGACACCAAAACATCCAAATATCCCACTTGTTGTGGCTAGTACGAACTCAATCCGCAACAAGTCGAGAACCCGAACGAGAGTCCAAACAATCTCACCCCCATCAAAAACCTCGTATGAAAAACCTGATTCTTCGCCAAATAGATAGCACTCATGCTATCACAATGAATAGTGACGGACCTCTGCGATATACCAAGTTCCTCCAAAAGTCCTCGAAGCCAAATAGCCTCCTTCACAGCCTCCGTAACTGCCATATACTCTGCCTCCGTCGTAGACAAAGCCACCGTCGACTGTAAGGTGCATCTCCAACACACCGGCGCACGGGTCAAAGTGAACACATATCCCGTAGTAGACCGGCGCTTATCCAAATCCCCGGCATAATCCGAATCAACATAACCAATGCATAACTGCCCACATTTAGTGTCCCGCTCATAAACCAAACCAACATTGAGCGTACCTCGAATGTACCTCAAAATCCATTTCACGGCATCTCAATGACCCACTCCTGGATCGTGCATGTATCTCGATACCATGCTTACCGCCTGTGACAAATCTGGCCTTATACATACCATCGCGTACATCAAGCTCCCAACCGCACTCGCATATGAAGTCTTCGACATTAACTCTCTATCTTCAATTGACTTTGGTGAAAGACCAGCTGAAAGCTTCAAATGGGCTCCCAATGGTACACTAACTGGCTTCGTATCCATGCTAACATGGAATCGCTGTAGAACCTTCTTCAAATAAGCCACCTGTGTCAAACAAATTCTGCCCTTTTTCTTGTCTCTGCCAATCTCCATCCCTAAAATGTGCTTTGCCTCGCCCAAGTCCTTCATCTCAAACTCATTTGACAGCTGAACTTTCAATTCATCTATAGCCGACCTGGAAATAGAGGCAACCAACATGTCATCGACATAGAGCAACAAATAAATGTACGCACCTCCTTTTAACTTGCGAAAATATACGCAAGGATCAAACTGGCTCCGAGTGTACGAATGACCAATCATAAAAAACCGTATAGCGATTTCTTCAGTTTGCAAACCAACTTATCTTTCCCTGCAGCTCGGAATCCCAATGGCTGAGTCATATATATTTCTTCATCAAGATCACCATGAAGAAATGCCGTCTTCACATCCAACTGATCTAACTCCAAACCATACTGTGCCACCAAAGCTAGCAAAATCCGAATCGAAGAATGCTTCACCACCGGAGAGAAAACCTCATTATAGTCAATACCTTCCTCCTGTGCATAGCCCTTCGCAACCAACCTAGCCTTGAATCTTAATGGAGTGCCTTCAATGCCCTCCTTCTTCGTGTATACCCACTTGCAACTAATTACCTTCCGCTCCTTTGGAAGCTCAACAAGCTCCCATGTATCGTTCTTATGAAGAGATTCCATCTCCTCCTGCATAGCCACCTGCCACGAATCAGCCTCCGAACTCTACTCGGCCTCTCTGAATGTAGTAGATTGCCTTCCGCCCCTTTGGAAGCTCAACAAGCTCCCATGTATCGTTCTTATGAAGAGATTCCATCTCCTCCTGCATAGCCACCTGCCACGAATCAGCCTCCGAACTCTGCTCGGCCTCTCTGAATGTAGTAGGCACTAACTCATCGATACTCTCCACCGGAAGTGCATACGCAACTGTGTCGGCATACCGTGCTGGCATCTGTATATTTCTCCTCTGTCTCCGAACCGCAATTGAATCCTGAACCTGAGCCGTCGGTTCCTGATCCTGCACATTAGTACCCGTATCCTCCGTATCACCGTCGTGCTCGCCTAACGTCACCTCAGTCGGCACCTGCATGGATACTGCACCATCTGGACAATGTGGAGCTGCATCAATCTCCACTACCTGCGATATCTCCTTCGTTGGGTCGCTCTCCACCTGATGAGAGCTGGGAAGCTTCAAGATAGAAGCCTCATCGAATGTTACGTCCCTACTCAGTACAATCTTCTTATCCACCGGATCCCAAAGCTTGTATCCTTTGACACCACGCTTGAATCCTACAAATATGGCCTTCCTAGCTCGAGGTTCCAATTTATCAGTTTTAACATGATAATATGCAAGGCACCCAAATACCTTGAGCTGGTCATAATCGTGTGCTGGCTTTCCCGACCACTTCTCCATAGGGGTTTTCCCCTCAATCGCAGATGAAGACAGCCTATTAATGAGGTGGCTCGCATATGTAAGTGCCTCAGCCCAAAAGATCTTCTCCAAACCACTCTGCGATAATAAGCATCGGATCTTCTCTAGTAAAAACCGATTCAATCTCTCTGCCACCCCATTCTGCTGCGGTGTATGACTAACCGTGAAGTGTCTCTCTATGCCCTCGTCTCGACATAGCTGCAAAAAGGGGTCTGAAGTATACTCACCATCGTTATCGGATCGCAACGTCTTGATCTTTCTCCCAGTCTGCAGTTCCAATCTCTTCTTCCACTCCACAAACAAATCTAGGACTTCACTCTTCTTCATCATGGTGTACACCCAACATCGTCTAGAATAGTCATCTACAAAAGTAACGAACCAATGTCTACCACCAAGTGATGCAGTCTTGGTAGGACCCCAAACGTCTGTGTGCATGTAGTCCAGGATGCCCCTCGTCTGATGAATGGCAGTCCCGAATTTCACCTTCGTCTTCTTGCCAAGAACACAGTGCTCACAGAACTCAATCTTCCCACTCTTGGCTCCCTTCAATAGCCCCTGCTTGCACAATGCCTGCAGTGATTTTTCATCTGTGTGCCCCAATCTATAATGCCAAAGTCTGCTCATGTCCGCTTCTGAAATAGCCGAAGCAACCTGGCCAATCTCGGTGCTTCCCTTCAGATAATACAAATTCCGATTGCGGACTCCCCTCATCACCACCAATGATCCCTTAGTAACCTTCGCTACAGCGTTTTCGAAAGTCACCTTGAATCCCTTCGCCTCCAAAGCTCCAACTGAGATAAGATTTTTCTTCAGTTGAGGAACAAATCTCACCTCCTTCAACTCACGGACTACTCCATCGTGCATCCTAATCCGCACGGTACCTATCCCACAAACGCCACAGGATTGATCATTTCCCATGACAACAACGCCCCCGTCGACTTTCTCAAAAGATGCAAACCAGTCTCGCCTAGGGGTCACATGAAAAGTAGCGCCGGAATCAAGCATCCAATCTGATGCATCCACATGGTTCACCTCCGGAGTAATCAGTAGAGAAAAGCACGAATCATCGGAATCATCGCCTTTCGCAATGTTCACCTCATTGGCCTTCGGGCCCTTTTTCTTGCCATTCTCTTTCTCCTTGAGCTTCGGGCAGTCTCTCTTCCAATGTCCCTGCTCCTTGCAGAATGCACATTGGTTCTTTGTTAATTGGTGGCGGCCTCTAGACTTTGACCTCCCTCTGTTACCACCTTTCGGATATGGGCTTCTACCTCTCGTCGACAAGGCCTCTCCTGAAGTACTAGCGCGGGAAGTCTCTTTATCCTTCCTCCTCAAATCGTAATTTGTCAAAGCGTTAGTCACTTCACTATAGCTGATAGAAGATCTATCGTTCAACAAAGTGAGCACGAAGGTATCATACTCCTCATCCGGTAAGGAGCCCAATAAAATAATCGTCTTGTACTCATCCGATATCTTCTCATTAACATTCGTCAAGTCCGACAACAACTTCGTATAGTTGTTCACATGAGCTGCTAGCGAGGTGCCTCTGGACATCTGAAATCTAAAGAGTCTTCGCAGCAAGTGCAACCTGTTCTCAACACTCTTCGTGAGGTACTTATTGTTGAGAATTTCCCACATCTTCATCACAGACGTCACCCCAATCACATCATATTTCAGCTCCTGTTCCAAACAGGACCTGATCACCCCACAAGCGTTCCTATTCATTTTCTCCCATATCGCCTCATCATATTTAGGTGGCCTCTCGTGGACCATGATGGTCTCTTCCAAGTTCTGAGCATTGAGCGCATTCTGTACGTCGCTCATCCACAAACCAAAGTTGATTTTGCCGTCATACTTCACCACACTAATTTTAGTGTTCTGAAAACCAACTTGTATTGTACTCGCCGTCGATTTGCTGCTTTCACCTTCTTCTCCCATTGCAAACTAACTCCAAAATTATAGAAAAAGAACAAATTTGATAGAAATTAGGAACCACCCAACTGAACACTAGATTGGATTCCAAATAGATCTCCTATCCACACGAGGAAAGCGAAATCTCCAACGGCAACTCCTAATGCTATCTCCACCGAAGCCGAGAACTCCAAGAACTAAGCTTCACACAAGAATCTTCCTCCACCAAATCCAAAACACCCTAGATCTGAAATCTGGGCTCTGATATCACTTGTTGCGCGCAGCGGAAATTTCGGCAGCACAACAAGAGAGTCAGATCGCAATAAGAATTCCCGTCTCACCAGGGAGACAAGAATCTGAAGCGGATATCTCAACCAAGTGAGATATCGGCTCTTCCTCTCATCAGTTCTAGGACTGACCTGTCGAGGGATCCTAAAAGCTATTACAAATCACACAAAAGCAGTACAATCAATTTTTACGTGGTTCGGCAAATTGCCTACGTCCACGGGGCAAGGAGGGGGAAGATCTACTAATAGAGGGAGAGAATACAGCTAGGGTTTACAATCACTCACAATCTAAACCCTCAAACAAACTCTTAAATCACTCACAATAAACTCTCTCAAAATAGCAAAACAAAAGCGGCACAGGAAATCCTCATGCACCAAATAACTCCCTGCACTGCTCCTCTGTCGGCTTTTTCTTGTTTGCACGAAGCCGCCAAAGACACCAAGCCGAAAACTCCTTTCACGCCCTCCTGCTCTTGCACACTCGAAAACCTAATAAACAATTCCTATATATAGGCGTGATTTGCGGTTCGTGGGCCGGCTTCAGAAACGAATCCACGCACGGAACTCATTTACGTGGTAGACCCCACATCACGTGCGTGTTCACAGTTTTATCATAGGTTTCAAGGCTACGTTTGCACAATTATCTTGAAACTTTGAAGTTATATAATCCTGCTCTGTTCAATATTGCTGTGAGTAAAATTGGGTAGACTGGAAAATGCCAGAATTTGATCACAGTCAGTCCCGGGTTTTCTCTATATCTATGAAATCATGCTGTGCTCATACTTCAACAGTTGATTAATATCCTCATATATTATTGTAACCTTGCGGAAGACAGAAGCAACAGACAGCAAATTCTCTTCTGATTTAAAGATGAGATGGTGGCTAATTTCCCACCTTGCCATGTTAAACCTAAGAATTGTTATTTAGGTTGCTACCTATTGTGTATATCTCAAAATTTTCATAACTTGCATATGATATTATCAGGCATCATCTCATGTCGCTTGGTGGAACTTAGAGAGGTTGGCTTATTACTAGGAAAAAGTGGGTCTCTCGCAAAGTGTAGGATTTTTAACATACCTTTGTTGTGGGAGTGACATCTTTCATGTTTCCTCCATCATTCAGGTGCTAAAAAATAAAATAATATAAAACATCAAAATAAATTAAGCAGATATGATTATGCTCCCAATCAAACACGGAAAATCTCATTAAAAGTGAAACTGAACCCAAGACACTGGAAAAAGATTTCATTCTGAACCTTCACATAACGGTAGGTTGTCATAGAACTTGGCAAGCTATAGTCTAGAAACCTCACTCGCTATCCCATAGTTTATGTTCTTTGTTTCTACCATTCTGGTACTGAGTTCTTTTATGGTAATATGTATTTATATTGAATTATTACTTCTTGCATGAAAAAGATCCATAACATGTCAATAGAATTTGGATCTTTTCACAGTGTTGTTTTCTTTGTACTTGGTACTGGCAGTCCATGAAATTTATGGCACCTCTTTCAAGTGTGTATATATCTCAAGTTTCATATATTCACCTTGTGATCTCAATTCTTCTTTTGCAGGAACAATTGAAGATTTTTGCTAGCAAAGCAAGCAGTAAGCTGAAAGAAAGAACCAAGGTTGAGCACGACGAGAGTGGAGTTGGTGGGAAGAGGAGGAGGAAGGGAGGGAAAAGGACAAAGAGGGGTAAGAAGAGTAAGACACGGTTTGAACATGAACAAGAACAAGAACAAGAGCAAGAAGCTGAAATGGGGAATGAGCCTAAAGCAGTGGATGAAGGAGATGCTAATATGATGAACTATCAGGAGGAGGATGGAGCAGACACAGCACGTGATAATTCTGTTGCTGCTGGTCTTGAAGATTCTGATGCTGAAGAAGACATGGTAGTACATATTCTCTTGCTTCCTAATAGTAAATAAGAAATATATGCTGTGGCAGTATATTTTCTCGAAATCCATATACTAACTCTAGAAATCGGTTTGTACTGCAACTTCACTGAAAATGTTCATCTACTTGGCTTTTCCAAGGGAGCACCTTCAAATCGCAAGAAACGGTCCTTGGCAGAGTTTGGTGATGAAGATGATCAACCATCAAAGCCACATCCAAAACTGAAGGTCACCTTGACATGAAGAGAATTAAGCAGGAAGTGACGAGGAACATTAAAGGGATGAAAGTAAAGAAGGAGCCTGGCGATGAAGAAGACGATGACTAGAACTGTGTATTTATATGCATGTGAGATATCTGAGACTTGTTGTATCTTGTTGAATAGTTGAATAGATATACTGCTCTCTTTAGTCAGCAGCTTGACTTGTTTACTCCCTTTGCAATTAGACATGAAATTATCTGAACGTAGGAGACAGTCTCATGTGAAGTTACCCTCTTTCAATAAAATTTTGTATAAACTTATGAAATCTGTTTTCGTCCGTCCAGTGTGATCTCCCAAATGAGAGTGCCAGTTTGTAGGAAATTTGCAAAAGGTATCTACTCTCTACCCTGTTCGGATTGATGTACTATTCGAAAAATATATGAGGACCCAGTGAGCTGTACATGAGAATAGTTTTTGTGTCGAAATTATTTATTCTTTTAACAATAAGTTAGTCATATTAAACAGTACTATTATTTTGAAAATAAATTGAATTATAAACTAGAAAGAGATTTATAAATGAAAACAAATACAAATATTTGTTAAGATAATTAGGAAATTTTGTAAGATTAATAGGTGATTAGGCACACACAATTTTCATGGAAAAAAAGGAAAGAAATAGAAATAATGATCAGTCAACACCTTGAACTTGAATCTTGAATAATCCTGAGATTACTAACTGAGACTACAAGAGTACGCATAGTAGCCCTTAAGATTGCTTTTATCAACTGTGTACCCTCGTTCATTAATCTCAGGTCATCTGTGTAGATGTAGATCGAGGATGGGATCATCTATATAATTACACTATATGGCACGTGACATAAATAATCCTATTAATTTGGCTATATAGGACTCGTGGGAAGTTGTGTCCCTTGAATTTGAAAATTATAGGACCTTCAGATACGTGTCAACCATGTATCATATTTTAAGCATTCCCTAGAACGTTCTCAGCGGCTTTTTCTTGTCCTCCTCTTCTTGGTTCCCTTTATTTTCTATTTAAACCAAAACAAATTTCTATTAAAATCAAATAAAGTATTGGTCATTTAGCGATTATCCTGTCAATTCTCTGTCCTTGTAGTCGAATAAGGTAATATCTCTCCTCGTTTAAAATTCATGGTCTTCTACATAACCCCATGGATCATTTTATACTATATTTTTATGCTGCACCTGCGTGTTTTTCATTATGATTCATGCTAGGTTTATAGCAAAGAGCATGTAAATTTTGGTGGATTAAGGGGGGTTTTTTTTTGCCCTTTTGTAAGGAGATACCGAATCCTTCTTTTCAATCAGTAAATCATGTTGGACTCATTAATACATATGTGATCTTTGATGTCCTTATATTTGAATATGACACTCAATTGATTCTTAATCTATGACATCCCACCGACTCAAAGTTATAGTCCCACATCGGTGAGGGAATAAGATATTTAAAGGTTTATATAGTGAAGCTAAAGACTAAAGTGTAACATCCGCTAGTCAATTTTGGCAGTGATTTGAGCCAAACAGTGCGTTACACTCGATGGGTCCTACGGCTTGCACGCACCAACGGGCCTGCGGGCTCGGGACGTGACAAATGGTATCAGAGCAGTTGCCAGCCGGAAGTGTGGAACTAAGTGTTATGTGGGGCTAAGTACTACACCGTGTAGTGTGGTGGGAGCCACCTCTAGAGCCCATAGGAGCTACCTCTGGAGTCAACATCGTTTGGTAGCTTGGGATGTGCTAATTGTCATGCCGCGACGAGGACGTCGCCTTTGTAAGGTGGGGTAAATGTGACATCTCACCGACCCAAAGTAATAGTCCCACATCGGTGAGGGAATAAGATATTTAAAGGTTTATATAGTGAGGCTAAAGACTCAAGTGTAACATCGGCTAAACAAATTTGACAGTGATTTAAGCCAAACAGTGCTTTACACTCGATGGGTCCCACGACTTGTACGCGCCAACGGGCCTACGAGCCTGAGGTGTGACATGATCTAAGTGGAGAACTTAGATAGAAGTAACATCTTCTATTGAGGGGATGTTTTTTAATTAAAAGAAAGGACCTTGGCTTATATTCATGTAACGGAATAATAGAGCATAAGAATAAGGTTATAACTTATAAGAAAATGTTTATGTTAAAGTAAGAGAGCGAGAGAATCTTGGGTAAATTTTCCTTGAGTTGAATATTGAGTGTACACATATATTTATACAATTAGAGGAGGTTGAGGTGTGTTCTCACAACCAATGTGAGACTAAAACCCACTATAATACACTATTATCAACAGTCATCCTCAAACTCATGTTGGATCTGTTGGTTTAAAAGAGAAGGAAAAACAGAGAACTTAAAGGTTGAAGGCTGAAACAAAAAATAAGTTTAAAGGAAGAAGATAACAATATCAGGATATTCTGCAAAGGTTGAATTTATTCTTTATTCATCAGAGATCTTCTACAGTTATAGTACTCAAAAAACATAAAAAAAATTCTTAAGAGTCATAACAACCACGTTATAAGCCACTAAACCACTACTGGCTTACTCCTAAAGAATAGCAAACTTGATCCTAAAGACTAGCAACAACTAACTGACTGGAAGACTAGTTCAAAACAGAAATATGAAACAATATATAACATATGTGCAGATCTTTAAAGCAAATATCTAACACTCCTCCTTGCTTTAAGGACTGCAAACTCCAATTTTCTTCCTTAAAGACTCGAACTTGTTGGCTGGAAGCGGTTTTGTAAACAAATCTGCCAACTGATCTTCAGACTTGCAATAGACTAAAAATACTTCTCCATTCTGCTGCACCTCCCTCAAGAAGTAAAGTTTGATGTTGAAATGCTTAGTCTTCCCATGAAACACTGGATTGTTTGAGATTGCAATTGCTGCCTGATTATCAACAAAAATCTTTGTGCCATCCTTCTGTTCTATGTGTAAATCACAGAAAATCTTCCTCAACCACAAAGCTTGATTTACGGCTGCTGTTGCTGCTATAAATTCTGCCTCAGCAGTGGATTGTGCCACAATCTCTTGCTTCTTTGAACTCCATGAGAAAACTCCAGAACCTAGGCTGAAACAATACCCTGAAGTACTCTTCATATCATCAATGGATCCAGCCCAGTCACTATCTGAGAACCCACTTAACTTGAAATTTTGACATTTCTCAAACTTTACACCATAATCAACAGTACCTTTGATGTACCTTAAAATTCTTTTTGCTGCTCTTAAATGCATTTCACTAGCACAATGCATAAAACGAGATAAAAGACTTACAACAAATAGAATATCTGGCCTTGTCGCGGTGAGGTACATCAGACATCCAATCAAGCTTCTATAATAAGCTTCATCAACTTTATCTGAACCATCCTCCTTGCTCAGCTTCTCTTTTTGATTCATTGGTGTGTTTATTGCTTTGCACCCCTCCATATGAAATTTCTTCAATATCTCCATTGCGTACTTCTTCTTGTAGATGAACACTTCATTTCTCCTTTGTTGGATCTCCATTCCAAGAATATAGGTCATAAGACCAAGGTCTGTCATTTCAAAAATCTGCATCATTTCTTGTTTGAACTCTTCAACCAGCCTTGTATTATTTCCTGTCACCAAAAGATCATCAACATAAAGGGAAACTATAAGAAAATCATTTCCCTTCTGTTTTACATAAAGAGTGGATTCTGACAAGCTTTTTTAAAGGGAAACTATAAGAAAATCATTTCCCTTCTGTTTTACATAAAGAGTGGATTCTGACAAGCTTTTTTACAAAGCCAAGGTCCAACAAATTTTCATCTATTTTGCTGTACCAGGCTCGCGGTGCTTGTTTTAAGCCATATAGAGCCTTTTTGAGCAAGTAGACTTTATCTTCTTCACCCTGCTTCACAAATCCTCCTGGCTGCTCAACATATATTTCTTCTTGTAGCACGCCATTCAAGAATGCTGATTTAACGTCTAACTAGAACACTTCCCAACCTTTTTGTGCAGCCATTGCTAGCAGAAGCCTGATTGTGTCTAATCTGGCAACAGGTGCAAATGTGTCAGAATAATCAACACCATAAATTTGTGCATACCCTTTAACTACAAGCCTGGCCTTGTATTTGTTGATGGAGCTATCAGCATTAAGCTTTGTTCTGTAGACCCATTTCACGCCAATGACTTTTCTGTCTTCAGGCCTATCAACCAGCTCCCGAGTTTTATTTTTCTGAATCATCAACAACTCTTCCTCCATTGCTTTCTTCCATTTTGGATCTTTGAGTGCTTCTTCATGACTAGCTGGTTCACATATTGCCACATTACACCTCTGATAAATTTCTGAAAGATGCCTTGTTCCTCTAACTGGAGGGTCATCTTCCAACTCATTTTGCCATTGTTGCTCATCAGGACAATTAACTTTTAGATTTGGTGTGGACCCACTCATTTTTTGTAAATTCTTCCAATCACATTGCTCATCTTCGTTGAAGTGAACATCTCTAGTGATAGTCATCTTTCTTGTTTGTGGATGATACACCTTGTAGGCTTTTGAAACTGAACTATAACCCACAAAGATGCCTGGAATTGCCTTCTTATCAAGCTTGTCACATTTCACCTGAGGAACATGAGTGAAACATATACAACCAAACACTTTAAGGAAGCTTAGCGAAGGTTTATATCCATACCAAACCTCAAATAGAGTTTTATCTTCCACAACCTTGGTGGGAAGGCGATTTTGCAGAAAGACTGCTGTATTGGCTGCTTCTGCCCAAAACTCTTTTGGCAACTCCTTCTCATGCAACATACATCTAACCATCTCCATCAATGATCTATTTCTTCTTTCACTAACTCCATTTTGTTCTGGAGTATAGGGAGCTGTGAGCTGATATTCAATGCCAGTTTCTTCACAAAATGAATTGAATTTAGCTGAAGTGTACTCCTTTCCATTGTCAGACCTGAGAGCTTGAATCATGTAGCCACTCTGATTTTCCACCATTCTCTTGAACCTCCAAAATACTCCAGCCACTTCTGACTTGAATTTCATGAAAAAAATCCAACACATTCTTGTAAAATCATCAATAAAAAGAATGTAGTATAGGTTACCTTGTAAAGATGGTGTTCTTTGAGGACCTCCAACATCTGTATGAATTAGCTGCAGCTTCTGAGAGGCTCTCCAAGTTGACTTGGGAAATGGAATCCTGTTTTGTTTACCAAACTGACAAGCATTACAATTTGGCAAACGATCAACAAGCTCCGGTAAATCTCTTGCCATGTCCTCCCTCTTCATTTTCAGCATTCTTTAAAGATGACAATGAC